TTTTTTTTGTTTCCTCGAATGAAAAGAGACATGAAAGGAAAGCGTTTTGCTGATGTTGCTGAGGTGAAGGAAAAAACGACGGAGGCACTGTCAAGCATCTCAAAAGACGAATTTAGACAATGTTTTGAAAAATGGAATAAAAGACTAGACAAGTGTATTAGTGTAAGTGGAGAGTACTTTGAAGGGGATTGAAGGTTTGTGCTTAAAATTTGAATAAATAAGTTTAAAAAAAATAAGTTCGGTTTCTTTTGGGTACCCCCTCGTATATTTTCAGAACCACATACTAATCCAAGAGCAGTGAATCCTAACATTATCTTTATTTTACCACATTAAAGATGTACACAGTTTAATAAGTGTCTGTATCTGAGCGGTATAGCCAAGTGGTAACATGTGACTTGTATTTCACATGGATCTCAGATGGGGCACCCATTATCCTGGCTAAAATTACATGGTAGTACTACTAGACAAAACCAGTATATCTCAAACAACCCACTTTATTCTCAGTTCTGCCCAAGCTATATAACCCTAGGAGATGATGGACCATTGTTAAACAACCTGTATAAAAACCAATTCCTCATAACATAGCTTTACTTTTTGCTAAAAATCAAAGTTGTAATTTAAATGGTAACTGTTATTTCAATTAAATTAGTGGAACTTATATTTTTATATTCTAAATGTAATAAAATAATATTTCTATCAGCTCTCCACATGCTGGTAAGTGTTTATTACACAGTGCTGCCACATATAAATCTGTCAGCTTTCTGGTGTAGACCAGTTTAAGAAATCTTATTCAAATATGAGATTCGTAACTCCACTCAGTACCTTAACTAGCACCATTCAGACATGGGCATTATGGAAGGTCATAATATCATCCCTTGTGAATCCCACCTCCTCAGTAAACAGGATGTTAGCTACAAACTGTGTGTTTACAACAGAGCAGCTTGCCAAAAACCCAATAGCAAAACACCACCCTTGCACAATGGTTAGGAGTGAGGGCTTGCACTCGCTGGATGTGGTATGGGTGAAGTGACTGTCCTTGGAGAATTCTCCAGACAAAGGGAACACTGATACCTTCAGCCGCTGGAATTCTTCACACACTGGTTCCTGAATTTCCTCTTTTCAATATGTGAACTTCTTGAAAACTTGCCCATATTTCAGCAGGAATTTATTTCTGAACATATGCTGACTGGGACATTTGCTTATTTAAATGAGTATTATACCCCCTCAGAGACTGTAACCCTTTTTTAACAGCCTGTATACAAGCAGAATACTGATTTTGCAACCCTTGAAAACTGCCGAATGCCCTGTAATTGGAACACTGGCTCTCACTTGAGGTGAATGATACACATACATTATTACTCCTCCTTTTATGGTTGAACATACATCCACACTGTATGTATAAATTCATAATAATTCTTCATTTCAGCAGCAATAAACCATTAATCCACGGTCTTATGTCTGTGGTTGGCGATGACTTATCTACATGTTGTAAGATCTGTAGTAGCAACATTTCAGGAAAAGGTAACAGCAATGCAGAATCCTACAGTTATCTTTCATTATTTTTAACTATAGGAACTCATGTTATGTTTTGTTTTGCATCACAACTAGTAACAGTGAAGTGGGTAGCTTTCCTGCTGTGTGTTCAGAAGGTTCTGGGTTCAAATATCAAACCAGAGATCTGCTATCCTGACAGATAGCAGTACTGTACTGGCTGGTAAAGTATATCTAATCGTTTCAAATAAAAATTAAAGTACTAAATAAACGTCTTGTATAATTATGTAGTGAATAATATATGAACTGGAAAGAATTGGGGAATGTGTTGTCTGTATGAAGAAAGAAAATACATATACACAAGGGTTGAATTCTTGCTCAATTTAAACTGCCAAGGTCGACCATGTTTAGCACGGGAGGTGTGACGGGAACCGCTGCCTAACTTGTAACTGGTGAACCTGGCGAACGTGACCGAACAAGACAAACATGTGGGACTGAATGCGACCCGATAAACGATCGTAACCGATACGACCGATGAGCTAGTTGTCAACCAGACCGAACCAGGCAGGCACGTAATGAAGTGAATGACAGATTTACGGGACTGAAAACCGCATTCACTCTGACCAATTAGTTCCATGCCGGTACATCTCCATCAACCTCCGTGCTCCGTAAATCCTCCAGAACTTTGATAACTTGATTCACGAATTAAGTACCTGAAGCTCTGAATTCAGTCACACAGTCACAGCCTTATTGTTACCAGTACATTTTCCTACCATATAGCTAGAAGAACTGACGGACAAAACCAAAAGTGTCAACAGATATTATCTTACCACCACAATCCCTGCGTTCGCTGCCGCCAATTGTATTCACTGCAACTCAGAGCTCAATGCAGCAACATGTATCAATCGCAGTCAACGCAGTGGTGTTAGCGATGATCTCATCCCATGCTTCGTCATTTCATAAATCTAAGCATATATGCCACGTGGTCAATTAGATACGGCCAATTAAATGTGCTAGAATGAAGAAGTTAAATATGCGTTGGGTGAACATGTGTTATCTATGCATGGAATTGTGTTAATTCAGTTACTAAACAACAGCACAGCTTCTAGTGGAATTCCCCAGTTTCAGCTTTTAAAGTTCCAGTGCGTTCCAAAGTAATAGAAACAACGTTCATATAATAAGTAATATTATGACATGTGATGAAACACGTCTATACATCTGCTATAAACCGCCAATTACATTTAGAATTTGAGGAGAAATATTGCAAGTTGAGGGAAAATTTCGAACGAATGTAGGCAATTCTGTTTGCAGAGTGTGTAGCGGTCGGTAGGGTTGGTAGGGTCGTACATATTTTGTTTTCGCGCATAAAGTGGGAGGTGTTATGAATTTCAACGAAATCGTAGCGTGAAATATAAGTAAATTAAGAAAAATGGATTTCTTAGAGTATTCGGACATATCAGCCGAAGTGAAGGGTGCTATGGTAAGGATATTATATTTTTATAGGACTTATTTTAACAATACTTAAACGTACGAATGAGGTTAATAATGATTCGCTTACATGAATACTTATAATATCTACAGAGGATTGTGTAATTTTGATGTCTAAAACACAATCTTTTCAAATAATTTAGCCTGACGTTTGATGGTAAAAGCTTAGACTTGCGCCGTGTGCGTAGCTTCTGGGACGATAACTTGAAAGTGAAACAATTTAATCCACCCACGATCTTTCTTCATATTCTTCCCATAAAACTTATTTGTTCAGGATTTACTTCAGTGTAACTTAAGGTAAAAGCTCTGTGAAAATCTTAACAAATTTTGGAGTTTTCACAACACAGAGTCTGTGGAATTGCACGCAGTTTTCACTTTTGTATGATAAACAGTTTTGTTGACATGTATGTGTGCACTTTCATATTGAAGATGAGACATGATTACAGCAGTGTCAGTAATGCATAAGGGATGTAAGTAAATGAATCGGTTGTTGGTTTATTTGAAGAGAGGCAATTGTTATAGCCAGTTCATAGTTCCCAGTTCACTAAGTGATGCATGCGATAAATACTTATACAACAGATCAAACCTAAAGTTAATTTAAAAATCTGATGGTCCCAGTATCTCATCCATTGCTGATATCTCTAAATATTAGTGTGTTGTTTCATTTCTACAACTGCAGTCTAAATGAATACTGCATTGTGTTGACACTTGACATCCTTGAGAGTTATGGATATTATTTCAAGCTGCAAGGGTTTGAATGTGGCAGCTAGTGGCCAACATTGGCTATGTGGAAAAGAAGGGGAACTGAGGGCTGATTAAATAGTAAACTGGCCAATGATTAGTATCATGTAACTAATAATACAAGTGTTTATCTATATTCAGTGTCCTGGACGACTGAAGTTGACTGACCAGCACATCATCTTCAAGAACAGCAAAACAGGAAAAGTGGAGCAAATAACAGCATCTGATTTGGACATTGTGAATTGGCAAAAATTAGTCGGAACATGGGGTATTCGCATATTTCTGAAAAATGGAACTCTTCATAGGTTTGGTGGTTTCAAAGAAGGAGTAAGTATATTTAAATTGGAATTGCTTTTGTGTGTTTGGTTTGTTGTTGGTGAATGAGATGGCGCTTGAAGATTGGGAATTGGAATGACAGTGGTCATCTGTAGTGTTTCCATTGTAACCAGGTATGCCAATTTTCATTACTTGGGCAGAAGAGTCCTGGTCAGAATATTGTACAATACTTCCCCTGTAACTGAATCATAGGCTTCCTTGAAGTCTACAAATAGCTGATGTACTGTCTTGTAATCCCATTTTCTCTGCAGTACCTGACTAATGCAAAAGTTCTGATCAGTAGTTGGTCTGTTATGTGGAAACCCACACTGATGATCCCCAATAATTTCATATATGTATGGACTTAATCTTGAGGGAAGAATATTGGATAAAATTTTATATGAAGTTGATAGGAGTGATATCCCCCAATAATTACTACAGTCAGTTTTATTACCCTTGTGAACTAGTACAAAGGATATTCGGGAAGTAAAGATACAAAGTCTAGTAAATATTTGTAAAGCATTTTCTTTTAGATTCACTTGTGGCACTTTTACAACACACCTTTATTTACTTTTCGCCATAGTCACCATGGATCACAATGCACTTAGTGGTCCTGGGAACCAGTTATTTAATCCAGTGCCATATTAATCTCCCTCCTGCTCTCTTAGCCATGTCATCATTGTCCGAAAAAGTATTTCCAGCCAGACTTTCCTTCAATTTGTAAAACAACTGATAGTTTCCTGATGCAAGGTGTGGGCTATGTGGTGGATGGGCTGATTCTTCCCACTTGAAGGACTGCAACAACAACTGTATGGCATGAGCAGTTTTGAATAGCCCGACACAGTTTCTTCAGCATCTCACAGTAAGCAGCAGCATTGATGGTGTCTCCTCAGGACAGAAAATTGATGAGAAGTGGCCCCTTCCTGTTCCAGAAGATGGTTGTCATAATTTTTTGGTTTGATGGTGAGGTTTTGAATTTTTTCACTGTTGGTGAGTGTGTGTGTGTGTGGTGCCATTGCATTGATTGTCACTTATTCTCAGGTGTGTGGTGAGATACCTAAGTTTGATCTCCCATCACAATTCAGTCCAGAAAGTTATCACCTTGATGCTTGTACTGTACGAGGAATGTGTGTGCTGCAGCCACTCAATTTTTCTTGTGATCGTCTGTCAACACTTTTTGGCACCCAACGCACGCACAGTTCCAATAGCGTAATCTTTTTGTAACAGTTTATTGGAGAACTGTTCGTGACACTTCTGGACATTGTTGAAGAAGTTAATCGATGGTTAGATATCTGTCAGCATGAATATTTTCATCAATTTTTTGGATGATTTCATCAGTGACAACAGATAGCCTTCCACTCCTTATTTCATCATGAACATCATTTCTTCCTGCTTCAAAATCATGACACCATTTTGCCACATTTTGCCTGTTCATAACATCTTTGCCGTAAACAGAAACAAANTACATCGAAAAGTACCTGAAGATGGCACCTTAGTGCTGAAACATGTCGTGCAAGAGAAAAGAGTAAGGTGAATAAATGTATGAACTGTAAGATGGTCAGAATAAATCATGGACATAAATCAGTGCAACAGGACGCTAAAATATAACACGACTGTTTTAACCACACACTGTTTCTTTCTTACGTAAGCTTTATGGTTTCTGCTCAGAACCCCTTGGAGATAACTCTGACTTCTTAATTAGTAAAAATTAAGCTGTTAAATGTTGTATTTTTATCTGAAGATAAAAATGGTGTTTATTGAATGCTTGTGTGTATTTCCATTTCGTTTGTATAGGAACAAGAAAAAATTGCAAAATTTTTCTCATCAAACTACAAGAAGGAAATGTTGGAAAAGGAGTTGAGCTTGAAGGGTTGGAACTGGGGAACAGCAAAGTTTAATGGTGCAGTTCTAAGTTTTGATGTTGGCAGCAACACTGCTTTTGAAATACCCTTGAACCATGTTTCACAGTGCACAACTGGAAAGAATGAAGTGACACTTGAATTTCATCAGGTAGGTGTATCATCAATGTGTAAGATGCCAATTTTAACAGAACAAAGTGTCTGAAATTTGGCAGTCTGTTCAGTATGCAGACAATATTGTTCAAATGACAGGTTGTTGGATTGCATTAAGTTCCTTTTGGTACATGAATCCTCTCTGCAGGATGGTTGGTTTTGTTGGAAGTATGTCATCCCAAACAAAGATAATTTTTTTAACCTTGCTCTAACATTGTATATCCAGTGTTGTTATAATTAAGTTTGTTTCTCTTACAAGTTCTTTAATTCACTTTATTGAATCATGGCTGGCATTGTGTAACCAGTGTATTGACTGGACATGGACTGGGCAACTGTGTCCTTTACCCAGCAGGTAGGAATTTTTCACTGTTTCCAGACCTGCACTTGGGCTCATAAAGCGTCCTCTCCAGTGGACACTGGATGAAATAGCTGGAGTGTGAAGCTGACCACTCATCTTTGTCTAGTGCTGAGGTTAAGGATGTATGAAGCTTTATCACCACTCCCATAAGTATCTTTTGATTTTACACATTTCCTCACATGGGTATAAGATTTGAAGTGAAGATGAAAACAAAGTATTCAAAAGAAATTGGCCCTGTGCTTAATTAAGCACTATGCCATGAAGATGTATGAGGGAGTGGAGGTATATCTCCACAATTCTTGACCTCAGCTGTGGATGGAGATGAGTGGTCAGCTTCATGCACTGGCCACATTACCCCTGGGGAAAGAACCCCCAGTTCCCAGTGGATAAGAGGCTGGGCAGGCCCCAGAGCCCTTCTGGACATTATGGAGTAGAGATATATCTCTTTCTCCTTCTCGGAATCCAACCCTGGCTGTCAGCCTATAGCCGTTCACCCTACTGACTGAGCTATCCTGTCTTGCACTGCAAGTATATATGGTATACTGTGTACAACATATCCATCGACTAAGCACCATAGAACTGATGGAGAGTTTTGCAACTACCATTTGACCCTTTGCAGAGAAATTACTGCCCATTTTTACCATTTATGAAACAGTGAAACTTACAAACTTTCTTTGCAGTATCACACATTTGACTTATATTAACACACCATTGCTGCGATGTATACCAAAGAAGGCTCTATCTGTAGGCTGTTACATTTCCTGCTACAATTCACATTTAGGACTTACTCATTGGATTTGTAATGTTGCGTTGTGAATATCTCAGTAATGTCAGCCTTGGTTTGCTCTTTATATTAATTAGAGCAGTATTACAAAGATGTCTGTAGATATGTCAGTTTTGTTTGTGACTTTTAAAATTTCTTTGTATTTTCCCCTTTTCTTTTTTAAGTTGAATGTTGAATATTTCATGCTTCCTGCAAAATCATGCTGCTTAACTGAAACTACAGGTATTTTTGGAGCTTGAATTTTCTGCCATTGCATGTATATACAAGGAGGTTCTTACGTTTCTTGAATGGTTCACAGTTCTGCCCTTCATGGCAACTGGTGCACCACCAACTGTGAGGCACATGCAAATTTTTCAGATAAATCAGTGTGCCTCATGGCTGATAACATTTGGAATTAAGGGAAATTATTAACTTTGTGGACTGCCTGCCAGCATTATGTTTCATGGTGAGCGGTGCAGTTCATGTTTATGATTTGTCAGCAGTGGGTGACAGTTATCAGCTCCCTTAGCCTTTTATTCTGTTACAATTAGTGAGCAGTGTCTTCCATCATGGTGCAGTATACTTAGAGCAACAAGTATTTCTGTATGATACCTATGTGAAATATGTGAAATAAGTGTCAGCGAAATTTTCAACATAAATTTCATGATGAAAAAGTTCCCAGCAGACAAACAATTCACAGTTTGGTGAACAAACTTAGATCAGTGGGACTGTTAATAGACAAGAAACAAAACATAAGCGCTGAGTGCTTACTGAGGAAGAGTTAGATGGCATAGGAGACGGACTTGAACATATACCGAGAAAATCACTGAAGCATCTAGTTCAAGAGACTGGAGTGTCAAAGTCTAGTGCAAGAAGGGCAACACAATTGCTGAAACTTAGACCTTATAAAACAACAGTAATCCACACACACCTGCAACCACGTGATACAGCTAGCAGGGTTAATTTTTGCAGTTGGTTTCTACAGTCTGACTTTGAAGGTGAGATCAGTCTCACATTGACATTCCTTTCTGATGAAGCATGGTTTGACTTGCAAGGATACATAAATATACAAAATAATCACTACTGGAGATCACAGAATCAACATGTAACGCATGAAGTCCTGCTTCTTCCAGTGAAAGGTGGTGCCTGGTGTGCTGTAAATGCAAGAAGGATTGTTGCACCCGTATTTTGAGATGAAACAATTAATTGCGAAAGATATGTACAGGTCCTTCTCAGGCAGTCGTTTTTAGAGTTAACAGAAGAAGAAAGATTTGATGGTTGGTTTCAGCAAGACTCAGCTGCTGCCCACACTGCACTAATGATAATGTAGGCTTTGTCAGATCTCTTCGGGGATAGACTTATCAGCAGTGGTATTTGGCCAGCACATTCACCCAGTCTTAATCCTTCTGATTTTTTCTTCGGGGGTTGTCTGAAGGACAAAGTTTATGGCAGTAACCCCCAAATGGCGGAAGAGCTACAAGAAAATTTTCATAAGGAAATTGCAAATATTTCTGCAAAGACAGCTTTGAAAGGTAAATCAGAACATCTTCCACATGTGCAAGGAATGTCTACAAGTAGAGGGACATATTTTCAACACCTGTGATCTGTGAATTGTGACTATTTCATTCTAAATGTTATTTGTCAACAGGCATATTGATTCATTGGTAAAATTTATATGCACCTTGCAGCCAGTGGTGCACCGGTTGCCATGGAGGGCACAGCCATGAACCAGTTAACAAAAGTGAGAACCTCCATGGAGATTGCACTCTTATCAAGCAAAATAAAATAACACTCCAAGCCGTTTCATGTATTAATAATGAAACTGTCCATTCTTCACCTGTGCTGCGTTTAGCCTCTTAACCGATACATGAAAGTGCTTTGCAAGAAATAAACACTGAATTATTCATAAAGCTATCCTTTTAAGAGTCATGAAGGCCCATAAGGTTGTGAGGCATCGAGGCTCCCAGATTTTGTAGACAGTCGCCTCACAGATGGCGGTGAGATTGTCAGCCTTACATGCTGGCCACCCTTTACCCCGAGGAAGATTCCTGGTACTCATTTCTGTTAGACTGAGTTGACCCCAGGGCCATAATGCAGCTGGAAGGATTAGGTCAATTGAAAAATGCATTGATCTCATCTGGGATCAAACCCTCGACCTTCCAGCTTGTAGCATAGTTCCTCAACCAAGTATGCTACCACATGCCCCCAGAATTATTCATATTTTGTATTAAATTAGGGTCTATAAATAAAAGGATATGACATACATTTTTTCTGTCATTTATTACTGTAGCACTGCATAGTAAGTGCTCTATGCAACATNCTCAACCAAGTATGCTACCACATGCCCCCAGAATTATTCATATTTTTGTATTAAATTAGGGTCTATAAATAAAAGGATATGACACACATTTTTTCCGTCATTTATTACTGTAGCAATGCATAGTAAGTGCTCTATGCAACAGATGGTAGCCATGTAATAACAAGGCAGTGAACATGTAGTTGTATGCGCTGATCAGATCTGTTATAGTCATCTAGAAATGACCGGAGATGGAAACAACTGGAGACACCAAAGTATTTCATGTATGATAACCCTTCTCAGTTTCATAACATTTTATGGTACAGCACTCTAAATTTTCCTAAAAATGAGGTATGCTTTTGATAGTTACAGCTCTATTATGGAGCATTCATTCATTCATTCTTTCATTCATTTATTTCACTTTCTAATTGATCCTGATACAGGCATAATACAAGCCATAGGATATAGTATGAGTCACAAGACTACNCTAAATTTTCCTAAAAATGAGGTATGCTTTTGATAGTTACAGCTCTGTTATGGAGCACTGTACTACAAAATAAGGTATCATGAAACTGGATATGTTTACCCTATAAGATCTACCTCTGTTATTATTATTTCAGAATGATGATGCACCTGTAAGCTTAATGGAGATGAGGTTTCACATTCCTTCAAGTGAATTGGCAGGGGATGTTGATCCTGTGGAAGCTTTCCATCAGCAGGTATGTTACATTATCATAGCTGCACATAACATGAACTGTGACAAAACAAAGAAGTCTTATAGCATGTATACTAAATGTTTTTCTGACTAATTAATTGTTGCCCCAAAGTAATGAATGAAATTTTGAGTATAGTAAGTAATTTATTATTACAAAAATTTAGTCAGAGAATCTGAAGGGAAGAGACGCTTGGTATACCAAGCCATAGGTGGGAGGGTAATTTTCTGTTTTATCTTAAATATAGTGTAAGGATGTGGACTGTATCCATGTGACTCAGGGTAACATTCAGTGGTGAATTTAGTTGAATGTCTTAATGCCCCTTTAGTTTGTATGAGAGGTGCAGAATTTTGTAATAAGCTGAATGATCACCACCTTTTCTGTGCAGTTAGAGTTACTATTATAATATTTTCCTTTGAACACATATGTTACCAGGTTATGAAGCAGGCAAGTGTCATCAATTTGTCTGGAGATGCTATCACCACATTCAAGGAAATTCAGTGTCTTACACCACGGTATGTATCACCACACAGTTTAAGTCCTGTTGTCTGCTTCTAGATGTCAGTATTTACATATGTGCATGCATTTGCATCTACCTCAGTCTCCTCACCACCAATCTTCATATAATGCCAAGATCAAGAATGCGTGGTGTCATACCTCCATTACGCCATGTATCATCAAAGTGTAGTCCTTAACCCTTATAGTAACAGCATATGCTAAAAATGCTGAACCACTTTTTCTGAAATTGCAAGCTTTGAGGAAGAAATCTCTGTGTTTAAATTTACCTCCCCCAAATTAGATATTGGGGAGGGGGATTTATAGGCCAGAAGCACAGTAAATTTGCTCTCAACTTCTGTACACTGTCTAACTGCCAGTTTTCATGCTTCACAGCATAGTTTACCAGCCATACATGCTCTATAAAAGCACTTCATTCTTCATCCCACTGATGTCAGCGTTTGTATGTGCTAAATCGTTCAAAAGTCCCACATGTGAACAAGCATTAAAGTAGAAGTGTGAAACTTTTCTCTGAATTAAATGTCATATAGGAAAACTCATAACATGTAAAAAGTTTTCTGTTAGCCAAATTTTCTGTACACAAAAACTTGTTTTGGGCATATAGGATTTGAGGTGCTCACAGTGGTGGGCATACCCAAAAAGTATGGAAGCACAGAAGTTTCAGCACCAATTTAGAGATACCTGAAGATGACCAGTGTTGGTCAAAGCATATAGTATGCGCACACCAGTGATGTAGAAGAGATTTCAGAGCTAAAAATTTTTAAAGGTTTTAAAAAGAAAATTGTGTGTGAGACGACCAATAACTAACAAGGAATAAATAAGTGATGTGCAGCAGGATGCTATGATGCAGTGTTGCTAAATATATTACACTGCATACATTCTATTGTAACAAAGCTGATTGATATAGCAGCTAATGTATTGCACACAGGCATAAATAATTTTTCCCATCTACATTAAGAAATACATGAACCAGGATAGTTCAGCTAATAAAGTGACTGGCTGTGGGCTGGCAGAGAATTTGCTCTTTGATACCACATCTAGATCCCTTCTGGGGCCTTCAGCTTCCTGTCTCATTGGTAGTTGACTTATTCCCCAGTGGTCAGTTGGCCAGAGCATGAGCCTGATAGCACACGCTCTGGTGCAGATGGTGGAAATCACATGGAATATACCTCCACTATCCACATGTCTTGATGGACTGGTGTTTAGGCACACTGGAAATCTCTTTTTACCAACTTTATTATATGGCATATATTTAACAAAATAAAGTTGGTATATATATATTGATGGGCTATGCTACAAGCCGGAAGGTTGCGGGTTCAAGTCCCGATGAGGTCATTGGATTTTTTTTCAATTGACCTAATCCTTCCAGCTGCACCATGGCCCTGGGGTCGACTCAGCCTCTAACAGAAATGAGTACCAGGAATGAATTACATAATTATCCTGGGGAGTAAAGCACAGCTGACGCGTAAGGCTGACAACCTTACCGCCATCTTTGAGCCGATTGTGTAGATCAGCCATGTCAAACATGCGTCCCCCATAGCCACAAAGTGCGGCCCCTCAACTTTTAGAGCTAATTGATATTAAAATCAATATTAAAATTTTAGTAGAAATATTTTTTGTAAAG